TCTTTGCAGACGATATGATTCCTTACTTAGAGGATCCAAAGAACTCTACTAAGAGACTATATGAACTCACAGAGGAGTTTGGCAAAGTGGCAGGATATAAAATCAATGCACAAAAATCAACAGCCTTTGTATACACAAGCAATGCCACAGCTGAGAAAGAGCTGCTAAATCAATCCCATTCACAATAGCTACAAAAACAATGAAATACCTTGGAATAAACTTAACCAAGGACGTTAAAGTTCTCTACGATGAGAATTACAAACTCTTAAAGAAAGAAATAGAAGAGGATACCAAAACATGCAAAAATCTTCCATGCTCATGGATTGGAAGAATCAACATCAACAAAATGTCCATTCTCCCAAAAGCAATTTATAGATTCAATGCAATTCCAATCAGGGTACCAAAGACATTCTTCTCAGATCTAGAAAAAATGATGCTTAAATTCATATGGAGGCACAAGAGACCTCGAATAGCTAAAGCAATCTTGTACAACAAAAACAAAGCCCGAGGCATCACAATACCAGATTTCAGGACATACTACAGGGCAGTTGTAATCAAAACAGCATGGTACTGGTACAGAAACAGATGGATAGACCAATGGAACAGAATTGAAACACCAGAAATCAACCCAAACATCTACAGCCAACTTATATTTGATCAAGGATCTAAAACTAATTCCTGGAGCAAGGACAGTCTATTCAATAAATGGTGCTGGGAAAACTGGATTTCCACGTGCAGAAGCATGAAGCAAGACCCCTACCTTACACCTTACACAAAAATCCACTCAACATGGATTAAAGACCTAAATCTATGACCTGACACCATCAAATTATTAGAGAACATTGGAGAAACCCTTCAAGATATTGGCACAGGCAAAGAGTTTCTGGAAAAGACCCGGGAGGCACAGGCAGTCAAAGCCAAAATCAACTATTGGGATTGCATCAAATTGAGAAGTTTCTGTACTTCAGAATAAACAGTCAGGAACGTGAAGAGACAACTGACAGAATGGGAAAAAATATTTACAAACTATGCCACAGATAAAGGGTTAATAACCAGAATCTACAAAGAGATCAAGAGACTCCACAAAAACAAAACCAACAACCCACTTAAGAGATGGGCCAAGGACCTCAATAGACATTTTTCAAAAGAAGAAATCCAAATGGCCAACAGGCACATGAAAAATTGTTCACGATCACTAGCAATCAGGGAAATGCAAATCAAAACCACAGTGAGGTTTCACCTCACCCCGGTTAGAATGGCTCACATGCAGAAATCTACCAACAACAGATGCTGGCGAGGATGTGGGGAAAAAGGGACACTAACCCACTGTTGGTGGGAATGGAAACTGGTCAAACCACTATGGAAGTCAGTCTGGAGATTCCTCAGAAACCTGAAGATAACCCTACCATTCAACCCAGCCATCCCACTCCTTGGAATTTACCCAAAGGAATTTAAATTGGCAAACAAAAAAGCAGTCTGCACCCTAACATTTATTGCAGCACAATTCACAATAGCCAAGACATGGAACCAACCTAAATGCCCATCAACGGTAGACTGGATGAAGAAATTTTGGGATATGTACACTTTAGAATACTATAATGCAGTAAGAAACAATGAAATCCAGTCATTTGCAACAAAATGGAGGAATCTAGAACACATCATGCTGAGTGAAATAAGCCAGTCCCAAAGGGACAAATAGCATATGTTTTCCCTGATTGGTGACAACTGACTGAACACCAAAAAGGAAACCTGATGAAGTGAAATGGGCACTATGAGAAATGGTGACTTGATCAGCATAGCCCTGACTGTTAATGAACAACTTAATACATTATCCCTCTTAGTAGTTTTTTTGTCTGTCTACTTAATATGACTGGTTTAATTCTGTAATTAATACACAGTTATTCTTAAGTGTTGAAATTTAACTGAAATGTGATCCCTGTTAAACATAAGAGTGGGAATAAGAGAGTGAAGAGATGTACAATTTGGGACATGCTCAAGCAGACTTGCCCCAAATGGTAGAGTTAGAAACATACCAGGGGATTTCAATTCAATCCCATCAAGGTGGCATGTACCAATGCCATCTCACTAGTCCAAGTGATCAATTTCAGTTCACAACTGATCATAATGAATGGACTAAGAGTCAAAGGGAGCACATAAACAAGTCTAGTACCTGCTAACACTAACCGATAGAATAAATAAAGGGGAGAGTGATCCAACATGGGAAGCAAGATACACAGCAGACTCACAGAATGGCAGATGTCCTAAACAGCACTCTGGCCTCAGAATCAGCCCTAAAGGCATTCAGATCTGGCTGAAAAGCCCATGAGAGTATTTCAGGCATTGAAAGCCAAGACACTCTGGCCAACAAAAAAAAATAAGACCTAAATGAAAGATCTCTGTGAGATCCCAGTGGAAAGAACAGGTCTTCAAAGAAGGAGGTACCTTTCACTGAAGGGAGGAGAGAACCTCCACATTGACTATGACCTTGTCTAAACAAGATAAGGATCGGAGAACTCAAAAGGCTTCCATAGCCTTGGAAACTCATGACTGGAGCATAGGGAGATTACTGATGCCATAAACAAGAGTGTCAATTTGTTAAGTCAACACCAGGAGTCACTGTGCACTTACTCCTCATGTAGGATCTCTGTCCTTAATGTGCTGTACATTGAGATTTAATGCTTTAATGAGTACTCAAACAGTATATTTCGCTTTGTGTTTCTATGTGGGTACAAACTGTTGAACACTTTACTTAATGTATACTAAACTCTTCTTCTGTAAAAAAAAAGAAATTATGAATTCCCAACTTGACTCTCGCTGGAATTAAACATGACAATAGGTCTGATCTGATTTCATCATCATTTAATCATCTATTATTTTTCACTTTATGTTTCTGTGTGGGTGCAAACTGTTGAAATCTTTACTTAATGTATGCTAAACTGATCTTCTGTATATAAAGAGAATCGAAAATGAATCTTGATGTGAATGGAAGGGGAGAGGGAGTGGGAAAGGGGAGGATTGGAGGTGGGAGGGACGTTATGGGGGGGAAGCCATTGTAATCCATAAGCTGTACTTTGGAAATTTATATCCATTTAATAAAAGTTAAAAAAGTGTCAAATAGAAAAAATATTATCAACTTTTATGATGTTGTTGCTAAAGTTCAATTTATACAGAAATGTATGATCTCAGATTCCATATATGTTTATGTAGTTAGAATATATATTTCCCTAAAATAAGTCTAAAGTTCTAGAATGGAAGCATTCATTACAAGCTATAAAAATATCAAATATCAAATTTAGCATTAAGAATGTAGAAGATAAAATGTTAAATGTGAAAGAAACTCTTAAGCAAAAATTATTGAATATATCTGGGTGATAATTTTTTAAAATTCATGTACAACTATTTCATAACACACATTTGCCACAAATTTTGTGAATCCTACTCATTCCATGGAGTTCATCCTCTCCATTCCCAATTTTTTTTTAGTAAATCATGTGCATTCACATTGACTCTACTTTTAGTTTCTACACATTAGAGAAAACAGTGGATACTTGCTCTCTGATTTAGATTGACTTTTCTTGTTTATCTGAATAGAAACAAGTTTCATCATTTGACTGGTAATAAACTTAACTCATGAAGACATTATATTTTCATTTTTAGGGAAGTCACTGAATTCTGTTGTGTATTTTGTCCCTACACTGCATCTCACTTTGCATGAGCACCTAATCAAAATCTCACTAATGACATCAGAGCCGTGGCTAGGCCATAGAAAATGTGTTTTGCTTAAAATATTTAGGGACCACATTTACAGTAATTTGAGTTTAGAAAACTTTTGAGTGGAAAAATAGAGTTCTCATATATATGCCCTCTCTACCCCACTTACTAGATTTCTCCATTGGCAATACCTCACACAGGTATGCAAGCTTAAATTATTAGTCCTTATTGATCCTCATTATTGACTATAGGACATGGCATCCATTGTGTTCACTCTTGTATTGTGCAGAATGTAGATTGGGCTATGGTTTAATGGTACATAGCTGACCTGATGGTGTCCTATTTAATAATCCTGAAAGTCACTTGCATTCAAGAAGTACAGGTGTCTGCCCATGGTGTTTGTGGTGGTGGGAATAAAGAGGTGACATTCAGCTGGTATTGTCTGCTTTAGGGTAAAAGTGAGCAGTACTCAAATAGTCCCAGGTTCTCATGAGAGTATCAACCAAGGTTGTAGGCGTGCAAACACATCATCATGGGATTCCATGGTTAACAGCAACATAGAAGGGTTTTATGCTTTACAACTAAAGATGAAGTGATTAGACATGCAGAATGAAAATATCTGAATTCAGGGTGATTACTGGTTCCACATTGATTGAAAACCACATGTCCTAGTGGGTATCTCTGTAAACAGGATTGGTTTGGGGTCTATGTGCTAACAAAGCGATGTGTGGCTGCCCAGAACACTGGCTGAGGGAGGCTGCCCTGTTGCACTTTGGGACATTGTATTGTGTGATACTGGAATTTTCTTGTCTGAATCCTTACAGAAAGCCTTGACTGATGCCTCCCTTTATGCCCTCTGATGCAATCCCAGTACATAATTGGAAAAAGTTCATGGAGAGGTTTATTGACAAACCCTTGCAACAAATGTAACTATCAGGGGTTTCTTCCTTGAATCTTTGTCTCCATGGACTTGGAGGAAAGCCTGGCACCTGGGGCAAGGAGGATGATTCACAAACATGTTTTTCTTCTTGTGTTTTTCACCAGGACAGAAGACCTGAACTGCAGAGCCTCAGGGCAGGAAAAGTATCAGATTCCCCCATGGATGAGTGGACAGCTGGTGGAAAGAGGTCAGATGGAGCAGTATTAAAGTGGCTAGTTTCAAGCAATCACACACACACACATGCACATGCTCTATGTATGCACCTGCATGACCCTGCATGTTCACTGCTGTTGTGTCCTAGGGTTTTACACATTTGAAGATGTTTCCTTTGATTTTTCTGTTGCTCTTTCTGCAGCTGTTTCCCCTTGTGACTTGTCAGGTTGGTTCCGACTGCTATTCCCAGATGGAACAGAGTTTTTACAAGGATGGAGATATTGAGATTGCTGCTTTTTTGCACATTTACACATATGAGGTTCCCAGAACCATGATGAGGTTCAGCAAATATCAAAGATTCAGATGGTAAGTTGTCCTTGCCATAATCATTTTCCATTAATTCACATAGTACCTACTTGTTATTAGGTCTGCAATTCTATAGGCAAATATGTTCTGTATCCCTGCCATGTCCATCTTCTGTCCCTCCTAAAAACTGCTGGTAATTGATTCGGGGCATGAGGAAGACATTTCCTTCTGCCTGGCACCGTGGATGGTTCAGGGAAATAGTGTCTCATGAGAGGAGGAACCAGAGTCCGGATGGTATCTTCCTGTCCTTCCCTGTCCAGGTTCATCAGCTCAGGGGCCTATTGTGCCTCAGTAGCAGAGTCTTCCAGAACCCATGCAGTGAAATGAACAAATCTGAGTTACATGAGCTCTTCCACACGTGCTCACACTCTTTTCTGCTACGTACTAGATTTGGGGCCATGAGAACACTTCACTTCTTCTACAGTTGTAAAGGAGAAAAGATTCAAAAAGTTTTTTCTATATAAAAGTAATCTCAGGGCAACACTTTGCACAAATATAGTAATTATATTTTACTGATGAATATACCCATAAGAATTTCAATGTTTTTAATCTACTATATTTGCAATTTTTCCCTGATTCTGCCTTTTCTGGGCAAAATAGATTTCTTAAGGGGGATTATTCTGTTTCTGCTCCTCTTAAAGGTACTTTATTTGTAGCTAAATGTAAGTGTTTCATTATATATATATATATATATATAGTATATATAAATTTCATGCCTACAGAATATAGTATCATGTAGGACAGTAGGACTGTTTTCTTCAAACCTGTTTATGAAGGTGTCAATTTTCTAATTGGTTTCTACTGTAAGGCTACAGCAAGTAGGCTGCAGCTGCATAGAACTTTGATAGAAGGTAGGTATTAGGACATAGATCATTTCAGTATCATTAAGGCCAATGGATTTGAGAAGTATAGTTGGTGCCACCAAGGAGATGCAACTGATGAAGTATTTTAGGCATTTGTCCAAAGATCTTTGCAGAAAAAAATCTAATGCATACTAACTTGGCATAACAATAGTATTCACTTCACATTGATTTTTATAAATTCACATTCTTTGATATGTGCACATGGTATCCCACTTATGAAATATATATTTATTACTACTAGTAGTATTCCCCCTGGTTATGCATGCAGCACATCATTAAGTGTACCCTTAATGATGGAGACCAGGAAATAGTGACTTTCCAGTAGTAGGAAAAGAGGCTATGAATAGAGCCCAAGTTCCTCCAAGATGTATGCCATACAAACTGGAGATCATAATCAAATCTTAATAAACCCAGGGAAAATATCTGTGTTGATGATACTTGGAAAAACAAGAAATACTGAACTGTTAATACATTTAGGCACTATACCCTCCAATGCTAGATTCACCAACTTTAGAATATACAACAGTTACTGAAAAACTGTTTTTAGAGATAAAGAACACAGCATAAAAGAGATAAACTCTTACAAATTCCAGTGTGTCCAAGAGCCGTCTAGACATTTTGGTACAAGGCAGCAGCTGGAGAAAGAAATGAGAGGATGCAGAATAATGGAAGTGTCATAGTAATGAGGAGAGAAACAGATATATGAAATACAAAACTGAATTTTATTTGATTCACAGCAATGATTTTCAAATTTCCTCATTCTACAGAGTATGAATGACATATTTGGATAACAAATATGTATAGAAACTATATATACATAAAACACTATATATATATAGCAACTGTATGCATGGTATACCTATGTATAAATATATAGAGAGAATATGTATATAATATGAATACATATATACATATTATGTTGCAGCAAGAACCAAGAACTGAAAAACTGTCACTTCCTCTGGAGCACACAGTAACCCTTAGCAAGCAGTGTACATGACATACTCTATTCATGAGGAATCAACACACAGGACATCAGAAATAAATTCAAGGGGCTCCTCATTTACATTCTTTGTGAAATGTCAGATCCTAAAAAGTAGAAATGCATCATTTTATTGCATGGAAGGCTATTTATATTCAAAATTGTAGGAAAACTTGAGTGAAGAAGGCCTGTTTGGAGTAAATACTGATACCACTCATAATGATTTACTTTAACATATGTTTAGTGTTCTAAATGCATGACTGGCTTAATTGTAAAGCATCATAGCCCAGTGATTCATGTTCACCCAGGGAGTGTTTCCAGCTTCTCTAAAGTGCTCCTCCCTTTTCACTATTTCCCATATTTGAAGCTCTGAACCCGATTTTTATTTTCATGGCTTGTGATGGAGGTTGATGGATAAGTTTAATGGCGAAGAGATTTTTCAGGATCAATTACAGACTCGCATTTTCAGTGCCATGACATCATCTCTCTTCTAGATTACATAGCCTTCAAGTGAGTTATTCTCTTCCCATTACAACCTGCAGCCTTATGATTGTATGACTGCTATTTCAAGAAGCACTTAATGATATGATAAGATGAAGAATCATTTTAGTTCATGAATGTAGGAAACATTTAGAGGCAGTGCTAAAGATGGTGTGACTTTCTTTCTCATGCTTTCTTTGATAACTGGAGTGTACTCCTAGGTGTGCATGAACTTTAGAGAGGGCATTCCAGAGCCTGTTGTAGTATTTACTTTAGATATCAAATACAAACACTTAGAAGAGGTAGCTGCTGCCAGAGATGATTTAAATTGATGAGGTTTGCATCCAAAAATAAGATCATGCTCTTTGGCTGCATGGACAACCATGGGATAACATACCCAAGACATTATGATGTAAAAGCAGATCTTATTTTTCAGAATCATTTAGGCTTGGAAACCAGTAAAAGTTGGTAGCAGCTTTGGTTCTGGTGAGGACATGTGTCCTACAAATACAAGAGTTCACACTCTGTACTCAGCAAATCTACACATACAGATTAGAACATATGAATGTTTGGCCATGAACAATCCATCTGTCACAGTAATCACAGAATTGAAGATAATCTGGATTGGAGGCTTTTCCCTTAAAGATCTTTGTGCCTTTCATGCAGGTTTCAGTCCAAAAACTACCAGTATGCTCTGGCCTTGGTTTTCGCTATTGAGGAGATCAACAAAAACCCCCATCTTTTACCCAACATGACCTTGGGATTTGGTCTCCATAATGTCATGCACAGTCATATAACTGTGATGGAGAACCCCTTCATCTGGCTTGCGGGACTGGAAAAGCACATTCCTAATTACACATGTAGGAAACAGAGCAAGTCTGTTGCTGTAATATCAGAAAGCAGCACTGCTGTCCAAATGGGGACACTGCTGGAACTCTACAAAATTCCACAGGTGAGTGTGTAGTGAAAAAGGGGGATAAAGTACATCACCTTAGGTGCCTTACTTAGAACCAAAAATTAAAGTGACAGAGACCTTATACATTTGACACAGTATGTGATCTAAAGAGAATGCGCACAGAGATTTTGTGGATTAGCTACATTTCTTCTGAAGCAGCGGTGTGGGTGAGTGAAAAGGAGAAATGTTTTTCTCAACCTGTGAGTCTAATGATTCATGAACTAGGAAGATCTCATGTAGTGGGAGATGAGAAAAATGAAATATTCTAAAATCTGACATTTCCATTATCTGCTTAAATTTTTTCAGGAATAATATTTTACACTATGACAATAACCTTACACAGATTTCTTGCCTTTTCCTTTAGCTGACTCTTGGGCCTTTTGAACCTCTTCTGAGTGACAGTGGTCACTTTCCTTCCCTCTATCAGATGGCCCCCAAAGACACTTCTCTGGCCCGTGGCATGGTCTCCTTGATGCTCCACTTTGGGTGGACCTGGGTGGGTTTGGCCATCTCAGACCTCCCAAAAGGTATTAAGTTTATGACTGATTTGAAAGTAGAGTTGCAGAAGAATGGGATCTGTGTAGACTTTGTGGAATTGATCCCAGCCACTGTAGAGGCACTTTCTTCATTCCAAAGTACGTTTAATATACAGATCCTAAAATCATCAGCAAATGTGGTGATTCTTTTCTGTGTCACTGAGTCACTCATAGGCACCAGCTTTCATTCATGGAGGGAGTTAATGATGTGGAAAGTCTGGGTCACCACTTCACAATGGGATTTTGCCAGTTCTGAGGAACCTTTCCTGTTCCACTCATTCCATGGGACCCTCATTTTTTCAGACCACCATAGTGAGATCTCTGGTTTCAAAAACTTTCTTCGCACAGCTAACCCTTCCAAGTACCCAGAAGACTCTTACCTCTCCAGATTCTGGTCGCTGGCTTTTAATTGCTCAGTTACTGGGGCATCCTGTAAAACTTTGCAGAACTGTCCACTGAATGCTTCCTTGGAATCATTGCCTCCGCATCATTTTGATATGACCATGAGTGATGGGAGTTACAACATATACAATGCTGTGTATGCTGTGGCCCACAGTATACATGAGATGCTTCTACAAGAGGTAGAAATGCAGCCAGTGAACAATGGGGCAAAGGTGGCATTTTCTCCCTGGCAGGTAACTTGGTTTCCATTGTTGACATGTACTCCTGAAGTGATCCCCTTAAGAGCTTCTGCAGGTGTTCAATCCAAGTAGCTTGGGAACCTTTCTGCAAAACACAAGATAAAAATTGAGCCTCTGCCTGTAATTTGTCATTAGCAAAAGGGCTCCAATGAAAAGTGGGCAGGTAATTTGGATAAGCATCAATACTATGACTTAAAAATACTCTCCAATTTTGTCAATTTAATTTTGACATGTGAAATACCTAGACTGTGTTATTCCATTTTCAACTTCAGCAGTACAGTAATTATTTTCAGGTTCAAATGTTACTGAGGATGTTCATCTACAATGAACATAAGGAATCTCATATAATTTGCACAGTTCTTTATTCTAGTAACTTTATTACAGGTAGTTCTCCTAGGTACACTGAGAAAATGAGTATTGGCAGCTTGGAATGTACTATTGGAAATGGTCTGAATCTGGCCAGCGCTGCAGCTCAGTAGGCTAATCTTCCACCTTGTGGTGCCGGCACACCAGGTTCTAGTCCCGGTCAGGGCACCGGATTCTGTCCTGGTTGCCCTTCTTCCAGACCAGCTCTCTGCTGTGGCCAGGGAGTGCAGTGGAGGATGGCCCAAGTGCTTGGGCCCTGCACCCCATGGGAGACCAGGACAAGTACCTGGCTCCTGCCTTCAGATCAGCGCAGTGCACCAGCAGCAGCGTGCCAGCCACGGCGGCCATTGGATGGTGAACCAACAGCAAAGGAAGACCTTTCTCTCTGTCTCTCTCTCTCTCACTGTCCACTCTGCCTGTCAAAAAAAAAGGGGGGAAATGATCTGAAACTCACAGCTAGATATTTTTGATTCCCCTTGTTTTTGTTGAAAAATGAGTGAAATCATACTTACCTTTTTTTTTAATTTTTTTTTATTTTTTTATTTTTTTTAAACTTTTATTTAATGCATATAAATTTCCAAAGTACGACTTATGGATTACAATGGCTTTCCCCCCATACCGTCCCTCCCACCCACAACCCTCCCCTTTCCCACTCCCTCTCCCCTTCCATTCACATCAAGATTCATTTTCGATTATCTTAATATACAGAAGATCAGCTTAGTATACATTAAGTATGGATTTCAACAGTTTGCTCCCACACAGAAACATAAAGTGAAAAATAATAGATGATTTTTTAAATGATGATGAAATCAGAGCAGACCTATTGTCATGTTTAATCCCAGTGAGAGTCAAGTTGGGAATTGATAATTTCTTTCTTTCTTTTTTTTTTTTTTTTTTTTTTACAGAGGATCAGTTTAGTATGCATTAAGTAAGGATTTCAACAGTTTGCACCCCCATAGAAACACAAAGTGAAATATATTGTTTGAGTACTCGTTATAGCATTAAATCTCAATGTACAGCACATTAAGGACAGAGATCCTACATGAGGAGTAAGTGCACAGTGACTCCTGTTGTTGACTTTACCAATTGACACTCCTGTTTATGGCATCAGTAATCTCCCTATGCTCCAGTCATGAGTTTCCAAGGCTATGGAAGCCCTCTGAGTTCTCCAACTCTTATCTTGTTTAGACAAGGTCATAGTCAAAGTGGAGGTTCTCTCCTCCCTTCAGAGAAAGGTACCTCCTTCTTTGATGGCCTGTTCTTTCCACTGGGATCACACTCGCAGAGATCTTTTGCCAGAGTGTCTTGGCTTTCCATGCCTGAAATACTCTCATGAGCTTTTCAGCCAGCTCCGAATGCCTTTAGGGCTGATTCTGAGGCCAGAGTGCTATTTAGGACATCCGCCATTCTATGAGTCTGCTGGGTATCTCACTTCCCATGTTGGATCACTCTCCCCTTTATTTACTCCATCAGTTAGCGTTAGCAGGTACTAGACTTGTCTATGTGCTCCCTTTGACTCCCAGTCCCTTCACCATGACCAACCGTGAACTGAAACTGATCACCTGGAACAGTGATTTGATGTAGTTCTCATCAGGTTTTTTTTTTTTACTTCAATTCATTGGGTGGTCCTAAACAGGTTCTATTGTTTATTTGTGATTACAGACAAAGAGAGGTTTTCTCTAACCTGGATTTCATGTGTTATTACTTGGGCAGTCTTCATGAGAATATGATGCATTTTTTCAGTTGCACCCATTTCTGAAGAATCTCCAATTTACCAATCCAGCTGGTGACCTAGTAAATTTGAATCAGAAGAGAAATTTGGAAGCTGAATATGACATTCTCATCTTTTGGAATTTTCCATATGGTTTTGGACGTAAGGTTAAAGTAGGACGGTTTTCCCCATACGTTTCACAGAGTGAACAGTTGTCTCTCTCTGAGAATTTGATAGAGTGGGCCACAGGAATTACAGAGGTAAGTAGGACTGATCATAAGTTTCACATGACACATTGTTACCCCCCAACTGCTAAGGGAGTATGTGCAGTATGGCTTATTAGAAAGACACTTAGAGACATTAAATCACTCCACTTCCAATCCAAATACTTTCTTATGTTTTTAGTGTCTGAGGATGGACAGTACACGCATTTGTTCGTGCAAGTCTTTTGAATCTATTTAAGAAAATCAAATAGAATGTTGTCATTGTGTCAGAAACAGATGTTTACAGTTTCAGTGAACAGGTTTGCAGGACTTGAAAACCCTCTACTTGGAACTTATGTAATAGTCTGAATTACGACCAACACTCATCTGATTTTCGCTCAGATTCCACACTCAGTATGCAGTGTGAGTTGCAGCCCTGGATTCAGGAAAACCCCTCTGGAGGGAAAGCCTGCCTGTTGTTTTGATTGCACACCTTGTCCTGGGAATGAGATTTCCAATCAGACAGGTAAGTCAGTGCCTGCCTTTTGGAGAAGTTGCCACCTGTTTCTTAAATTATCAACTTACCATGGAAAGAAAGTATGTGGAATATGACTGCTGAGAACAGTCTTCCCCCCCTCAGGTAGCAATTAATCCTTATAATCAATAATAATCCACAAAAGGATAAAACTTTCCACAATACACTCTGAATTATTTATGAAAGCATACAAAAGACTGAATGTCTCTGGAATGCTGACCATGTTGGAGTTCAGGCTGATATACATATGGTAAAAAATGAATAGAAACCAAGATTGGAGAATATTCACCCCATAAAACAGTGTGGCATTTCTAAGATTTATTGCATGAATCAGAACTATGCTATCACATGTGTCATAAAGATTTTCCAGTTTTTGCTTCTGTTGTATGAGTAGTTATTTGTACCATATATTTAGTATCATTCTAATTTTTTGAAACCTATTGTTGATAATGAAAGGTTCTGTCAACAGAGTACGGTCCATGGGAGTAGTGTGGTGTATGTGCTAATTCAGTATAGGAAAACTCATATCTGAGTTCCTTGTGCATGTATAGCTAAAAATACTTTCACCAAATTCAAGTGCACCATGCTTGGAGTGAGAAAGCACAACTCTAAACAAACTGTGTGTTATATGAAAAACTATCTTAGAAATCATAGAGTATATCATCCTGAGGATAATACTCATCAAATATCATAAATGGGGCTAATCTTAGCCTTTGACAAAAGTCATTGCTGCTCAAAATATAAATCTTCAAGAACCTTCTTATGCTTACATATGTACACACATTTATAAAATTCATATCAAAAGAACTCAAGCTGACATACACGGTAATAAGTATGCATAGTGGACCTGGCACTGTGGCACAGAGGCTTTAAGCCCTGGCCTGAAGCACCAGCACTCCATATGGGCGCCGGTTCTAGTCCCAACTGCTCATCTTCTGATCCAGTTCTCTGCTGTGGCCTGGGATAGCAGTAGAAGATGGCCCAAGTCCTTGGGCCAATGCACACACATGAGAGACTCTGAAGCTGTCTTCAGATCAGCACAGCTCTGGCTGCTGCAGCCATCTGGGGAGTGAACCAGTAGATGGAAGACCTCACTCTGTCTCTACCTCCCTCTGTAACTCTGTGTTTAAAAAAATAAGTATGCATACCAAGGTAGGTCAATGACTGCAAGTTCAGCACAAGCCCTTAAAGGTAAAATGGGGACATTATAAGGAAATTGAAGTAAGTAAAAATTGGAAGAATTTAAAGTTTGTGATCATAAATAAGATTTATGAACCTCAGCAAGATGGAACAGTGTGAACAGTAAGATTACTCTATCTGTGTGTGTGTGTGTGTATACACAGAGAGCGCTGAAGGGGTCTATTTAGATGTAAAAATACTAATATTAGAGCTTATTAATCATTTAATTCTGATACATTGAAAAATATAGAATAAATTCAGATATTCTCAGATAGAAATATTATGAAATATGTTGAGCAATATTTGAAAAATCCAAATATCCTCACAGTTATTAAAATAATTCCCAATACTTGAGTTATGATAAACAATTTTCAGATGAACTCCTTTCTCAACTCCTATAGAGAACAGGAAAAATGGAAAAATTCTGTTTCTTCTATGGGAACATCTCAAGTTGATGGATCAAATACTGCCAGATATTTCAGCTAAATGAAATTGTAAGACACTGTTGTTGAAATAAATTCATACATTTGAAATCTCAAACAATTTAAAACTAACAGTATTTTTTAAATAGGCTACATCATGCCCAAAGAGTTTCATAAAATCTAATTCAGTTTATAGTACATGAAAATTGTAATATTAATTAGCATAACTGAAGAAAAATAGTTAATAAAATCTAAGTGATCCATGAATTGTAAACAAAGAACAAAACCACTCAACATGACAAAAAGAAGGATTAGCTTTCAATCCTAAAGAGTATTTTAGAATGCTACAAAACATGGAAATTACGGCTGAAGATTGGATACAAAGTTGATGAAAGAACGCAACTTCTACAGAAAATTACACAGGAGGTTCGGCTCCATGCATATTTTCAAAAAAGAATGACATTCAACTTACTGAAAAGGAAGATATAAAAGTGCATCATTTAAAGTGATATTGGGATGGTGTATTGAAATCAGTGAATTGATAATTGAATTAAGTAGTGCTGGTATACAAAATTGTACAAAGCAGTTACTTTTCCTTACCAATTCTGGAAACCAAAGCTACAAAAGATGGCACTTGTAATGTCTCAAAAGTATGAAATATACAAAGGTAAGACTAACTAAATATTGGAAGAAATCTGCAAGTTGAGACATCAGTCATCAATGGAGCAATATTTTGAAAATAGGAGGGTACAGATTGAGCTGGAGAGAAAATTCATGTTCAAGGATAAAAAGACAAGAAAGTGGAAATATGGAGTAAGTTTCAAGCTGGTCTACAGACTGACTCTGATTACAGGCAGCATCCTAGTGTGTTCTTTGATGAAAACATTCAAGGGTGAAAGCTAATCCTGCTGGTATCAAGTGTACAGCTGTTCTGTGTTTCTCTAGAACCTGACCATTTGCCTTCTAATGGTGGTTTGTCAATCAGTGCTTTCCCCTATCATAACATAATCCAGATTCTACCTTAAAGAGATATGTTTTAGTGAGATCGCTAGGTGATTTCTGTGCAACCAAAATTCACAAAGTATATCTCCCAGTCCATGACATTAATAATGGGAACCTTGGGCCAGTGCTGTGGTATAGTAGGTTAAGCCCTGGCTGGGATTCTAACATCCCAGTTGGTCAACAGTTCCAGTCCCAGCTGCTTCACTTCCAATGCAGCTCTCTCCTGATGCTTGGGAAAGCAGCTGAAGATGGCCTAAGTTTCAGAGCTCATACCAATACAGGAAGCCCAGAAGAAGCTCCCAGTTACTGGCTTCAAAACAGACAAGGTCCAGCTATTAATGTCTTTTGGGGTGTGAATCACTGGGGGAAGATCATTCCCCTCCTCTTTTTACCTCTTTCCCTTTCTCCCTGTCTATTTCTCCCTGTCCTCCTCTCCTTCTTTCCTTCTCTCTCCATTCTGCTTCTCTTCCTCCTTCTGAAACTCTGACTTTCATGTAAATTATTAATAAATGAATACTCACTAAAACAAAGACTGCAACCATTGGGTGGTTGAATAGGCCATGAGAGTACAGAGGGAATAGCACCATTAAAAGAAGGGCTCATTTCAGGCATGGAAAGCCATGACTCTGCAGTAAAAAATAGACTACATGGAGGATCTCTGTGAGACCTCTGTTGAAAGAAAAGGTCATCAAAAAGGGATGTACTCTTGTCTGAAGTGAGGAGAGAGCAACCACTTTGCGTATGGCCCTGTCCAAATACCGATGGAATCTCTGGTCACAAAAGGCTTCCATAGGCTTGGCAGACCATGGCAAGAGCCTCAGGTGATCACTGACATCATACATACATAAACATGTTAATCATTAAAGTAACAACAGAGGTCACTGTGTACTTAGTCCCCATGTAGGACCTCTGTCCCTAATGAGTTGTACTATGAGAATCGACTGCAAATTTTGTTCCTAAACTGTGCTGTATATGTGGTCTCTGTGTGTGTGGATACCAACTGTTGAAATCTATGCTTAACATGGAGTTGGTCCTCTGTATTTGAAATCAAACTAAAAATGAACCATAATGAAGAAGTAGATGGTAGAGGAAGAGGAAGAAGGAGGTGTGATGGGAGTGGGAGTGGGAGGGTGGGTATAGGGAAAAGAACTCCTATATTCCTAAAGGTGAATGTATGAAAAATGCAATCATTAAATAAAAACTTAACAATCAAAGGCTGCTGCTTGCTCTTGTTCAAAGTGAGCATGCAGCAAAATGTGCCCTGTATAAGTGCAGAGTAGCCCTCACCACACATGGAACCCTCTGGCATCTTGATCATCAGTTCCCTATCCGAAGAAACAATGAAGAAGGAATTTGTGGTGTTAAAATAACACAGGTTAAGGTATGTTTTAAAGCACCATGAATAGTTTCAGAGAGTAGCCCTTATGGCTTTGTTAGGAGAAAAAGAGAATGTACTCATCATTATGTAAGGTACTTAGGAAGATGAAGTATTAACTGGCTAACATGAGGAAGATGGACATAAATAATTGCCAATAATTTAATATGTCATTTTATATGCTGTCTTTCACATCAAATAAGGACCATTTGCCTAAACTAGCTACATTGGGTATTCTAGAAGGTACTTGTGAATCAAGAATAACTGAACTTGGGATGATGTTTATTACATTTCTCACCAGATATGGACCAGTGTGTGAAGTGTCCAGATCTTCAGTATGCCAACACAGAGCGAGACCAGTGCTTCCACAAAAAAGTGACCTTTCTGTCTTTTGAAGATCCCCTGGGGATGACCCTGGTCTGCACAGCTCTGTGCTTTTCTATCCTCACAGTTGTTTTTCTTGGGGTCTTTGTGAAGCACCGAGACACTCCCATAGTCAAGGCCAACAATCGTTGTCTCAGCTATATCCTGCTCATTGCCCTCACCTTTTGCTTCCTCTGCTCCTTACTTTTCATTGGTCATCCCAACACAACCACCTGTGTCCTCCAGCAGACCACGTTTGGAGTGGCATTCACTGCAGCTGTTTCCACCATCCTGGCCAAGACTATCACTGTGCTTCTGGCCTTCAAGGTCACTGCCCCAGGGAGAAGGATGAGACACTGGCTGCTATCAGGGGTACCTAATTCCATTATTCCCATCTGCTCCCTGATCCAACTGGCTCTCTGTGCCATCTGGCTTGGGACTTCTCCTCCCTTTATTGACACAGATGCACACTCTGAGCATGGCCACATCATCCTGGTGTGCAACAAGGGCTCAGTCACTGCTTTCTACTGTGTCCTGGGCTACCTGGGTTCCTTGGCCTTGGCAAGCTTCACTGTGGCTTTCCTAGCCAGGAATCTGCCTGACACCTTCAATGAAGCCAAATTCCTGACGTTCAGCATGCTGGTGTTCTGCAGTGTCTGGGTGACCTTCTTGCCTGTCTACCACAGCACCAAGGGGAAGGTCATGGTGGCTGTGGAGGTCTTCTCCATCTTGTGCTCCAGTGCGGGGCTCCTGTGCTGCATCTTTGTCCCCAAGTGCTACATTATTCTCTTGAGACCTGAGAAGAATGCTTTGAAAGGATTCAGGGATAGAATAGTTTCCAAGGAAACAGATGTTCTGAAGAATAGCTCTTAAGTCTCTCGCAGTTTTCAATGGTTAGAAACTAAGATTTATAAAACCGATTTTGCATTGTGATGTTATAAAAAAATTACACAGTGTAACCATATTATGAATGTTTTATGTTTCTCTTAAAATGTATTTGTTCTGAAGCACCAACTCATAGAAAAGAAAGGGAGAGTAGGAAAAGCTTTCCATCTGGTGATAGACGCTGAAGATATCTGCTGTGGCCCAGTGCTGGTTCTTGCCAAACCAAGATTATTTCAGTTGTCCATTTGAGTGTCAGCATCTTATGCTATCTTCTACTGCTTTTTTTTTGGATCATTAACGGGTAGTAGTATTCCAAGTGGGACAGCCAGGATATGAACTGGCACCCACATGGGATGTCATAGTTACAAGTGGTGGTTATATCCACTACACACTCACACTGGTCCCAATCCTCCTCTCTTCAAAAATAATACTGTGTATAAATTTCTTAGCCTGGGTTTCATGTTCACAAACACAAACTGATCTCAGATAAAGACTCTCCTTGAAACTTTTCATTGCTTTTCATTTCTGTGTTTTCATTGTCACCTGGTGGACATGATAATATACTTATTTTAATAAAATGAGTTACACGTTTGCTGTTTCCTAAGATTTATTCATTTGTTTGAAAGGGTTTACACAGAGAGAGGAGAGGCAGAGGGAGAGAGGTCTTCCATCTGTTCAGTTCACTTCCTATTAGCTGCATTGGATAGAGCTGCACTGATCTGAAGAAAGGAGCCAGGGGTTCCTGATGCAGGGTCCCAGAGACTTGGGCCATTTTCTGCTGCTTTCCCAGGCCATAGCAGAGAGCTGGATGAGAAATGGAGCACCAGTTCTCAAACTGGCCCCCATATGGAATGGCAGAGCTTCAGGCCAGGGCGCTAACCTGCTGTACCACAGCGTCTGCCCCTGTTTGCTGCTTTTATTCATTCATTAGTGTATTTATTCATTCATTATTCATTTACTATTAATGTCAGCTTTATAATAAAGTTGCAATATTGCAGTGTAAATATTAGACATGTTAAATCATTTTAATGTGTATAATGCATTGTCCTGAAACTCTTGTAGTACAACACATTAAGGACAGAGGTCCAGCATGGGGAGCAAGTGCACAGTGACTCCTGTTGTTGATTTAACAACTGACCTCTTAGCTATGAGGTCAGTGATCACCTGAGGCTCTTGACATGAGTTGCCAAGGTTAGAGAAGCCTTTTGAGTTCACAAACTCCATCAGTTTTTTTGTACAGGGCTATATGCGAAGTGGAAGTTCTATGCTCCATTCAGCATACATCCTTCTTTGATGGCTTTTTCTTTCCACTGGGGTCTCACTCACAGAGATCCTTCATGCAGAACCATTTTTGCCACTATGTCTTGGCTTTCCATGCCTGAAATTCTCTCATCATGTTTTCAGTCAGGCCTCAGGGGCTGATTCTTAGGTCAGAGTGCTGTTTAGGGTGTTTGCATTCTATGAGTCTGCTGTGTGGACTGTTTCCCATGTTGGAACTTTCCCTTCTTTGTAATTCTGTCTATTGTTATTATCAGGCACTTGGTCTTATTTATGTGATCCCTTTGTCTGATGTTCCTATGTATATGATCAAGTCCATACTTAATATGATCACTTTTACACATAAGATGTGATCAGGGCCACCCAGCTAAATGGGATTTCGAGTCCATGGAACATTTTTAGCTTCACCATTAGGGGTAGGTCTGTGTGAATGTGTGCTGACCAGTACAGCTCTTCCCTCTTCCATTCCCATTCTTATTTTGAACTGGAATCTATTTTCAATTGATAATACATTTATGATTAATTCTAGGTTAAGTAAGGAGTTTAGCTAATGGCATTAAGTAGAGAAGAAAAAAAGAATGAAGAACTAGATAAAGTGAAATAATAAAGTGTTCCTTGACAGTCAAGCCAAGGGCTGTTCAAGTAATTGCTTCTCATAGTGTCTATTTCACTTCTACAGGTTTCCTTTTAGGTGCTCTGTTAGTTGTCACAGATCAGGGAGAATATAGTGATATTTGTCCCTTTGGGACTGGCTTCTTTCACTAAGTATGATATTTTCCAGATTCATCCATTTAGTTGTAAATGACCAAATTTCATTCTTTTAAACTGCCAATAGTTTTCCATATAGTATATGTCCCATAGTTTCTTCCTTTTTTTGACAGGCAGAGTGGACAGTGAGAGAGACAGAGAAAGGTCTTCCTTTTCCATTGGTTCACCCCCCAATGGCTGCTGCAGCCGGAGTGGTGTGGCTGGTGCATGGTGCTGTTCTGAAGACAGGAACCTGGTGCTTCTCCTGGTCTCCCATGTGGTTGCAGGGCCCAAGCACTTAGGCCATCCTCCACTGTACTCCGGGGCCAACAGCAGAGAGCTGTACTTGAAGAGGAGCAACCAGGACAGAATCCAGTGCCCCAACTGGGGCTAGAACCCAAGGTGTTGGCAGCACAGGCAGAGGATTAGCCTAGTGAGCTGTGGCACTGGCTCCAGGCTCCATAGTTTCTTTATCAAGTCTTCAGTTAATGGGCATTTAGGTTGATTCCATATCTTGGCTATTGTGAATTGAGCTACCATAATATAAAGGTGCAGATGTCTCTTTTATTTGCTGACTTCATTTCCTTTGGGTACGTTCCAAGGAGTGGGATGGATGGATCCTAGGACAGGGCTATATTCAGATTTCTGAGGTATCTCAAAACTGTTTTCCATGGTGGCTTTACCAGTTTGCATTCCCAGCAGCAGTGAATTAGGGTACCTTATTCCCCACATCCTCACTGGCATTTGTTGTTTATTGATTTCAGTATGAGAGCCATTCTAACTAGAGTGAGGTGAAACCTCATTGTGGTTTTCATTTGCATGTCCCTGATGGCTAGTGATCCTGAGCATTTTTTCTTGTGTCTGTAGGCCACTTGGATTTCGTTTTTTGAGAAATGTCTACATCCTTTGCCCACTTCTTGACTGGGTTTTTGCTTGGCTATTGTTGAGTTTTTTGATCACTTCATATATTCTGGTTATTAATCCTTTATCAGTTGTGTGGTTTGCAGATAATTTCTCCCATTCTGTTCATTGCTTCTTTGCTTCCCTGTTTGTTTGCCATACAGAAGCTTTGCAATTTGATGTAATCCCACTTGTTAATCTTGGTTTTTATTGCCTGTGCCTCTGGGGTCATTTCCAGGAACACTGTGCCTAGGCTGATGTCTTGCAGGGTTTCCCCAATGCTCTCTTTTACTTTGATGGTATTGGGTCATAGATTTAGGTTTTTAATCCATTTTGAATGGATTTTTGTGTAAGGTGTAAGGTAGGGGCCTTGTTTCATATTTCTGCATGTGGAAATCCCTGTTCTTGCTCCAGGGAGTGGTTTTAGCTACTTGAATGAATATAAGTTGGTTGTTGTAGATTGTTGGATTGATTTCTGCATTTCTATTCTGTTCCTTTGGTCTATGCATCTGTTTTTGTACCAATACCACACTGTTTTGATAATAACTGCTTTGTAGTATGTCTTTAAATCTTGTATTCTGATGCCTCTGGTTGTATTTTTGTTGTATAAGATTGCTTTAGCTATCCTAGACCTCTTAGGTTTCCAAATGAATTTCAGCATCATCTTTTCTACATCTGAGAAGAATGTATTTGGTATTTTGAATGGTATTGCATTGAATCTGTAATTATTTTTGGAAGAATGGACATTTTGATGATGATGATTATTCTGATCTATGAACATGGAAGTTTTTTTTCATTTTTTAATGTCGTCTTTTATTTCTTTTTGGAGAGTTTTGTAATTTTCATCATAGAGATATTTTACCTCCTTGGTTAAATTTTTTCCAAGGTATTTACTTTTTTGTAGCTATTGTGAATGGGATTGATCTTAGAAATTCTTTCTCAGCCTTGGCATTGTCTGTGTATAGAAGGGCTGCAGTTTTTTGTGTATTGATTTTATATCCTTATGTTTTACCAAACTCTTTTGTGAGTTCTAGTAGTCTCTTTGTGGAGTCTTTCAGTTCCCCTATATATATAATCATGTCATCTGCAAATAAGGATACTTTTACTTCATCCTTACCAATCTGAATCCCTCTCATTTCTTTTTCTTGCCTGATGGCTCTGGCTAAACTTCCAGTACTATATTGAATAGCAATGGAGACAGTAGGCATCCTTTTCTGGTTCCATATCTCAATGAGAATGCTTCCAGTTTTTCCCCATTCAATAGGATGCTGGCCTTGGGTTTGTCATAAATTGCCTTAATTATGTTGAAGAATGTTCCTTCTAGACTAAATTTGCTTAGAGTTTTCATCATGAAAGAGTGTTGTATTTTATCAAATGCTTTCTCTACATCTATTGAGATAATCATGGTTTTTGTTCTTTGATTTGTTAATGTGATGTATCACATAGATTGATTTGTGAATGTAGAACCATACTTGCATACTGGGGATAAATCTCACTTGGTCTGGGTGAATGATCTTCCTGATATGGTGTTGAAATTGACTGGAAGGATTTTGTTGAGGGATTTTGCATCGGTGTTTATCAGGGAAATTGGTCTATAATTTCCTTTCTCTATTGCATCTTTTCCCGATACAGGGATTAAGGTACTGCTGGCTTCATAGAAGGAATTTGGGAGGATTCCATGCCTTTCAATTGTTTTATTTTATTTTTTTATCTTTTATTTAATGAATATAAATTTCCAAAGTATGACTTATGGATTACAATGGCTTCCCCCCCCCATACCGTCCCTCCCACCCACAACCCTCCCCTTTCCCACTCCCTCTCCCCTTCCATTCACATCAAGATTCATTTTCAATTATCTTAATATACAGAAGATCAGCTTAGTATACCTTAAGTAAGGATTTCAACAGTTTGCTCCCACACAGAAACATAAAGTGAAAAATAATAGATGATTTTTTTTAAATGATGATGAAATCAGATCAGACCTATTGTCATGTTTAATCCCAGGGAGAGTCAAGTTGGGAATTGATAATTTCTTCTTTTTTTTTACAGAAGATCAGTTTAGTGTACATTAAGTAAAGATTTCAATCGTTTGCACCCCCATAGAAACACAAAGTGAAATATACTGTTTGAGTACTCGTTATAGCATTAAGCCTCAGTGTACAGCACATTAAGGACAGAGATCCTACATGAGGAGTAAGTGCACAGTGACTTCTGTTGTTGACTTTACAAATTGACACTCCTCTTTATGGCATCAGTAATCTCCCTATGCACCAGTCATGAGTTTCCAAGGCTATGGAAGCCCCTTGAGTTCTCTGACTCTTATCTTGTTTAGACACGGTCATAGTCAAAGTGGAGGTTCTCTCCTCCCTTCAGAGAAAGGCACCTCCCTCTTTGAAGACCTGTTCTTTCCACTGGGATCTCACTCACAGAGATTTTTTGCCAGAGTGTCTTGGCTTTCCATGTCTGAAATATTCTCATGGGC